GCTGTGCCAGGTCCAGAGGCAGAGGGGCAGGTGGGTGATGACAGAGACGGGTGCACAGACACCATGAACAGAGAAAAGGAGCCAAGACTTGCCAAGCATACACAGACACCAGCAAGCCCCCAAATGACACAACATATGGAGTACGACTGAACAATCCCTCCACCCTTCTCCACCCGCCATCATCGCAGCGTCTTTTCCTGCCACACAGCAGCTCTGTGAAAAACAGGCACTGACACTGTGACTGGAAGTGGAGAATTTGAATATTTTGCAACAATGGCAACAGCGTTAGGCAAGTCCTCCAAAGACATGTTAAATCAGATCCTGATTCATACAGAGAGAAGCTCTGCTGAAAACATTTAATTTTGTATAATAAGTGAATCAGTGAAGCTTGTTATTAATAATATTTTTCCCTGCAGTTTCAGAGAAGGTGAGGTGCCATCATAAGAAGACAGAGGGTATGAATGAATAGCAGAAAGTGAGTGTTATAAGATTTATTTGTGATGTTTATGTCTTGGTGTAATCAATACAGTCAATGTGCTGTCCTCTACAGCAGCTGCCCACCTCTCAATAATGAGGCATCGGCCAATTACTGTCCAGATGACTATCCACTCATTCATTAAAGGCACACTCCTTGTCTGCAAGCCAAAAAGGAAACAGTACAGGGAGGGCATGACCTTGACTTATGATTACTCCACTTTTATTAAGGCAGAACCCCCCCGCCCCCAAACTTTCTGGAGCCTTTCTTTGTCATAGAAACAGGTTATCTGGTTTTCAATAATTCAGAGATAAACATGATCATGGCATGGAAGCAATCGTGTATATCAGCTATCACAGCCCAAGAGCTCTTTGTCTTTTTCAGTTGTCCCCCTTCCTTTCTGGGCTTATTTTTCCCTTGCCCGTCTCCTTCTCCAACCATCACAGTTCTACTTAGTGCAACTCCACTGTAAAAGCCTTTACCACCAACCGCACCAGCAGAATATCTATGACTGCAGGACACATCCAGTTGTGCAGTGTGCAGCGCTGGCGCTAACAGCAGGCTTTACACCCGCAGTCATTCAGCTGATTCACATGCTGTCACAATTATGAAGTGCTTGAAGCTGAACCAGGTCAAGTAACTTCTTTCCTGCTGGCTGCCTCTCAGGAGTTCATAGCTGCTTCTGCAGAACAAAACAACATATTCAACCCCAGATTTTCACAGAAAGTAAGTAAGTAAGTAAGTAAGTGTATATCTCTGGCACCCTCAGTTGGCTGCCGATGCATTCAGTGACAGCATTATGACCAACTCTATGTACATTTGTATGTGCTTCATCACTGGTGGGTATTTTTCAGCAAGAGAAATACTTGTCACCATCTGTCATCTCCCACAAACACATGGACAAAATGGCTTATGGTGGTTACAGCGAGAATAAGAAAACAGAACAGTTTTAATAATTTCATTATATAGACCTGGATTCCCCTACAGTTTATAGGCTTCGTTAGTTATTCAGGGCTCGAGACATGTATATTTATATGTGTAAACTAGCATACCAAGTGAGCTTAGTTAAAGGTCCAATAAATGTACTATAAACCGGGAAGGCATGGCATTGCAAGACTGCATTGATCATTAAGCATTCATATATGATTTTGTGCAACAGAAGCATTAATTATTTAATGTAAAATCTCAGCAATTTCTCTGAATTAAAAGTATTTCTGCATTGCAGTCATCAAGAATAATGAGTTATTAATTATGTTCGTGTCCTGTTCATGAACAGTAGAATGTTGATGTTGCATCTTGGATGTGTTTAGCTTGTTTGGAGAGTGAGAACCGTGGATCCATCCTTACTGTTTTACTCTCTTTAACCTGAAAACCAAGCGTTGGTTGGCCTGTTTAGAACCAGGAATACTGTAACTAATTATTGCCTGACTCTGCGGCCATCATAGTGGGATAGGACAAGACTATGCAAAGTAGATTCCACAGCAGTGAAATAAAGACTGGCAGGTGACTATCCCCAATACAGACCACCATATGCATGCTGAAATCAGCCGCAAGTTTGTTTGGAAAATCACAAGCAATATTTGCTGAGTGCTCCCATTTTTGTAATTGGTGTATAATTTAAAGGCGCCATAGTAGTGGTGTCATTAGTATTTTTACTTTAGGCCTTACAGCATCTTCTCGTTGCATTTTTCTCATTTTAGAAAGCCTGAAGAGAGGCACAGATTGCATGCAACAGTCGATGTTCAGTTAGTTAAAAGATGAAAAAAGCCAGGCCCCGAAAAAGCCAAAATTAATCAAATCGCAGGCTCAGCATGCGTGGTGAAGGCAAGTCTCTATAATGAATGTTGTATGAACAGGAGATGGATTGGAGGGCTTGCTAATTTAGTAACGTAGAAACTAATGGCTTTTTTCCTCTTGTATACTCTGCCATTTCTGTGGTTGCCTCTCTCAGCAGTGTATATTTTGACCATTACTTTTTTGAGGAAACTGTCGGTCTCTGTGTGTGCATGCGTGTGTGTGTCCCTCCTCTTCTTTCCCTCGCTCCCTCTGCTGATTGCTATTCGTGTTTCAGAGGCAGCCTGAACCCTAGCTCAAAGAGTTCAGTATCGACAGTTGTCCACAGTAGTGAGAAAACGAATGAGGAGGCAGTAAGAAAAGAGTACGAGAAGGAGGAGAAGCCAGGAATTCATTAAAACAGTTACTATGTTAATAAATACCAGTTTACGTTTCTAACAAAGGCTCATGTAAATTTACATAAAGGTTGATCGAGTGCATCCATCTGGAACATGAAGTTTCTGTAACAAAAGAAGTAGCTGCCTCGATCACACTATTTTAGGCTGCAGTTCTCACCTCGAGCCTTTATGACATTCAAACTTATATAATTTCTCTCAGACAATATGTGTACATCTGTGTTTTTGCATGCCATCTTACACCCTCAAGCTTAAATAGCATGCCGCTTCTTCCTTACTCCGCTCGCTACCCACCTGCAACATACATATGTAAATGTCCATTTAAAAGGGATTTATACCTTTTTTGTTAGAAATAACAAAAAATACTTTGATATTAATGTATGTACACTGCCTTCAGCTGTTTTTATCTGCAAGAATTTTCAGTGTAACGCTAACACATTATGATGAAATGTAATTCCTGACTACCGGTTCTCATGTGGTCTCCAACTTCAGATTCGAGGTTGAATTCTTTGAGATATAAACAAACAAATACTCAAAACCATATTAAAGATTACATGGCTGCATATATCCTCACTATTTATCTCTCTCTCAACTCGTACATGCGAACATGCCAACACACACACACACACGTATACGCCTACTTACGACCACTGGAATATACACCCTGGCAAATACTGTTTGCTGATATGCGGATTGGGTTCAAGAGCGGAACAGTGAGCATTTCAATCTAAACAGTAAACACTCTTAATTGGATTGTGTGCTTATGTGCTTTGATGTGAATCCTCTAAGGACTGTATATTATTAGGCCTAATTGATTCTGATACATATTTACATGAGTTTAGAAAATTACCCCCCCAAAAATATAAATGAAAAAATAAATAAATAAAGTGAGTGGCTTCATCATGAGTCTAATTGCCACCATTTGGTTGACACTACCATTACTGACGCATTGTGTTATTGAGGTGCACTGCAGACTTCCACATTCTTACAAATTAGGCCCAATGGAGGCAATGGGAGCCGAGCAAGAGGGCTCACCATCACCCTAAGGCTGAGAGGTAGAGCACTGAACTTCTTTTGCTAGCCTTGAATACTGTCACCTGCCTGCGGAGGGTGTGAGTCAGGCAAGCCAACCTTTTTCTCTACATATAAGTATTTAAAGTCCCCAAAAATGTCAGCCAACACAATGCCAATGCAGTCACTTTGCTGATGGGTAAGACACTAATACCACAGTGTGTATGTGGTCTGTGAGCGCTACAGAAATCCAAAAGTCAGACAGCAAAGTTCAAGACCACTCTAGCCCATACTTAACACTAGACAGATGGCGTTCCAAATGCAGGAGCAGAGGATTAGGTCTGGAGGTTGATTGAAGGTTTGTGCCACTTTTTGGCACTGTTCTCCTCCGGGTGACACCGTGGTGGAGGAAATAACACGAGCTCCTTGGCCAAGCGGGCATTCACATCTTTGGTTTCACATCACCTGCAATTTGAATTCCATTACTTGCCATGCCACACTTCAAATAAAGCTCGGTCCTATTAATTACCAAAGTATGGGTTCAGGGTAAAGGTGAACGTGCAATTACAGAATTAAATCAAGGCCCTGTTTAGCTTGTCAGTCCTGACAGAAATAATTTGGGTGAATTATTAAATGCTTCCACCGCTCTCAGCTGCTTCATTGCCACCTCAGAAATATCAAGCAGCGAGAATCCACCCTCTGCTCTTTCTTCTCTAAAATAAAACTGTTAATTGTGCTTATTTTAAAGCACGATTAATAGATTAAGAACTGTTACTGTTGTATGTAAACGTCTTTGTGCCGTCGATGTTTTCTGAACCTTTTAATGAACGAGGTCAAGTTTAATGAGATCAGTGGTGGTACAGTGATCTTGCAGACATTGTATTTAATTATCATTCTTTTAGGTCCAGTGAATTAGAAGTTTTAATTAGCTACTGTTCAGATAATATTAAGTTCCGAGGTTATGCTATAATTAGCATATTGAGCTTGCAAAAACAGTCAAACTTACACAACAACGAATTTTATTTCAATCCAAACTTCTTCTGCTGTGTGTGTGAATAGAATTGTACCAGCTGTGGCGTCAGTTTGACCCGCACTCCTTTTTTAAATGTGTGTTTCTCTTTCCTTAAATGTAAAAAAATCCAAATGTCTTGTTTTGTAGAGTTCTGCTGCAAGCAAGCATTTTAACTAATTTTCTATAATGAAGCAATTTGCCAGTGGCTGACTAGATTCAGTGGCTGAGTTTTGGTCTCTATGACAACCAGCTGTCTGTAATTAGCAAATCAAGCCAGGGTGAGGCTTTAGGCAGTCCGAGTGGCTACAAAAGAAGTCAAGTGGCAAGTGTTCCAGTAATTGTGCTGTCATGAAGTTTATGCTGAAATAACTGCAGGAATGAGTTTTCTTCTCGTGGGTTTTCTCAGGTATTTAAAGCTTAAGGTTTTCTGTGGTTAAAAAACAATTACAGCTTCTCAGTGCTGTGCTATTTGGCTTACTGATTTTTATTTTTTTTTTTTTTTTTTTTTTGTGTGTGTGTGTCTGTGCGTTCTTTTTTTTTTTGTTTTTGTTTTTTTTTTGTTATTTTTCTAGCACTGTTGTGCTCCACTCTGTGTCAGCTGGTGGTGCATATTGTGCTAAAACAGCAAGAGGTATGTAGTGCACTTCAATGGATGCTGCTACTTTAAAAAATATATATAATTACCAATTAGTGGGTATTTGACACTTCACAACAATGAACCGGCAAACAGGTTTGTTTTGTCATTGTTTGTCTGTGCTGTAGCCCGTGCAGCTGCTTTGGGTTTGGATTATCCTGGAGTACATGGAGCGCCTGAACTCTCTGGACCAGCTTATCATGGAATCCCCCCTCACCCCTACAATCATGAATGGTTTGAGACTGTACCAAACATGGCCACCCCTCAACAAAATTGGCCAACTTTTCATAATGTGAGGCATAGACAAGCTAACCTAGGAACATCTGACAGATTTCTAATGACCCACGGCACTTACGGACCAGTTCAAAATGAATACACAACAAAGCCAGAGCACGGCTTTCCCAGAGGACAGTCGGTCAGTAACCGCGGTTCCAGTTTTAAAGGGGTCATGCGTGTTGCACTACCAACACGAGCTGATGCCCCTAGCCAGTTTGACCTTGTGAATAGGGATCCTCAAGGTCACTTGGTTGGCTATGGTGAACATGACCTTGTTGTTGATGAGTCCGTCCCAAATAGACAGGGCATTTTTCACCATGCACTCCCCCTGCCCCAAAACTGGGGTCATGGTGCTTACCAGAGAGCTCGAACTGTACATGGCCTCAGAAGAAAAGGGCCTGTCCTTGGTTCAAATCACTTTAAGAAAGTCCATGGAGCAGCAAAGACTAGTTGGGGTCCTCCTATGTTTGGTAGTTGGAGATACAGATTTCCTGGCCTCAATGCTAAACAGTTTGTTCAAGGTACCCCAACCCCCTTGGTGGTCTGAGAGACATGAAATCAGATCCCGTTAGACTTATTCAAATGAAAGGGTCTGACATTAAAGGCCCTGGCATATAGCTCTGCTGTCTTGTCAGATGGTGTTCCTTTGACTTTTTTTTTTCTTTTTTTGAAGTTAACAGGGAGGCTTTTTGTGCAGGGTGGGGGTGAGAAGTGAGTCTACAATCTTAGTTTCACTGGAGACAAAAGGGAGGGATGTCCCTCCTACACTTATCTGTGTACAAGCGCCTATATTGTGTGTTTTTTGTTTTTTTGTTTTTTTTTGTTTTGTTTTTGGGGTTTTTTTTGTTTTTTTCTTCACGTGTAACTCCAAAATGAGTGATATTACACACCCTCTACTAAATATAAAATTTGTAAAATGGTTATGGTTCTCTGGGGGTTTTTTGTTGTTGTTTTTTTAAAACACTCTCCCACCGCATTATAAATGACTCACTGGGGCCTGGATGCTACCACAGTGCCATCTGTTGGTTCCAATGGGTAGAGAGCCTTTGGCTCACATTGTTGTACACAGGTGCTGCTTAATGGAGGGTCAGCCTTTGACAAATCCCATAATCTGTTTACAATCTGTTGTTTGCAAGTACTAGTAGAGGCTATGCTAATTTTTTTTCAAATAGCTTTGGCATTTCAGTGATGGCATGCTGCACTATTGGTCTGGAGTTTCCAATTAGATAATTCAGACCGTGCAAATTGGTATCACTCATTTTATAAAACAAAACTTTTTTTTTTTTCTCACCAATGCAGAACATTGTCAGGAATTGCTGAAAGTTTGTGTGAAATGGTACACTGACCCATAAATCACTCAAGAGCCTAAGAGTGGGTTATGCGCACTAATCTTGAATGTGAAGAGGGAAACTGATGACGGAACAAAAATAAACCAATTAGCTGTTTGTGATAAGCAGGAAGGAAATCAATCACGGGAGGGTGGGGGGAAAAAAAGAAGGAAGGAGGGTGGGAAAAAAGAATTCAGTAGCTGCAGTGAGTTTGAACCCCACCTGGCAACCTCGCATGTGTTTATGTTGGGCTAAATTCAGCGAACAAGTGAAGACCCTTTCAAAATATATTTTGCAAGACAGGGAAAGGAAGGACAAACTTTTCTTTAGTCACTGATGGCTACATTAAAAGTGCCACAATATCCTGTGATCATTTGCCTTCTTAACCTTGATCAATAGCTTAATGACCCTTTTTACCGCTTCGAGGAGGGAAAGGAGGAGGCAGGGGGATTTACTATGTTTAAGCATGTGGCGAGCAGTAAGGACCCATCACCAGGAGCTCACTGCTGCTAACAAAGAAATCTAGCTTTCCAAATCTTATGACATCAGAGCTTCTTTCATGCAACACAGTTTCACTTGACTTTTGTAATGATTAACACAAGCTCTTGTTTTAATTAAACATGCCAAATTAAGGCACTTTTAGTTGCTTTAGTTGGTGACATTCTATTACTTTTCATTCTTAAATATTCCAGTAAATCATTGTCACAATTGTCAGTTGTTGTTTTTGTTTTGTTTTTAAACTTAATTTTGCTGCTGTGTCGTGAAGAGTTGAGGCTTCAGGCAGACTTAAGTCAGCACCTCATTGATAGTCTCAAACGCAGCTAAATAGGCTCTTACTGCAGGGCCATTAAATCAAAATATATTTCACGCATTTTGTTTTGTATACACGGTGTAATTATTCGCACTATTAATTTCACACACTTGTACATTCCACTTCTTACTGACTTGACCACTATTGTGTACCAAGATTTGTCTGCGACCTAGGCTAGACCAGGCTTGCTGGGCTCTTTATCATGTCTGTTAGAGAAAGCATTTCTGCTTGCCTGAAAAATGTGTAAACACTGAGGCACTGCATTTTCCTTTAGCATCCTAAACAGTGCCTGCAAAATGGAAATAAATAACTCAAGAACTTTTCAACAGGATAACGGTATACAGTGTATGAAATCACCTGTCTGTAATTAATAGCTCGTGCATAAATTGAGGATAATACTGCAACTTTCCAACAAACCTTCACTATATAAACCAGGGGTGGGCAACTCTAAGCCCCGAGTGCCGGTGTCCTGCAGGTTTTAGATCTGTCCTTGATCCAACACAGCTTTTTCAAATGGCTAAATGACCTTCTCAACATGTTTTGAAGTTCTCCAAAGGCTTGGTAATGAACTAATTGTTTGATTCAGGTGTGTTCAGGGTGATATCTGAGACCTGCAGGACACCGGCACTCGAGGCCTGGATTTGCCCACCCCTAATATAAACCATCCCACAGCTACCAATCCACCAAATGCAATTTTTATTTATTTTTTTAATAAACTAAATTATGTCACTTTGTGGTGAAGATCGCTCATTTCAGGACCCAAGATCTGAAGTGATAGTTTAAAATATTTCGGTGGGCATTTTTGCCATGTGGGGAGGACGCACAGCAAAGGGCCCTGGGTTGGAGCAAAACCAACCTCTGCATTGAACCTTTGTTTTATGCTTCTATTATATCAAGCAGTGAGATAAATATATATTTGATTTACAAAAAAAAACATTATTACTCAAGATATATTTACTGATATTGTAACCGCTAGGTTTTAACAGTCCTTTTTTTGTTTTTTTTCATAATCACCTCTTGAAGCCTCCAATTTATGCTCAGCCTGCAGTGAATATGAGCTAAATGAACAGTCTTTAAAGAAAGTTGTAAAAACCAGCTGAGCCTAGGAAATTAATCTGAGGAATCACCAGACAACTAAAATAAAGAAACCTTTGTGTTACATTCAGTGTAGGTCAGTCTTTTTGAATTTGCTGTCTTTCAATTAAAAGAAAGAAAGAATTTATTTTCTTTAGCCACTGAAAACTGTTCCACTGAAAAAGTCTATTTCATTTCAATTTTTATTTATATAGCACCATTTCACAACAGTCACCTCAAGGCGCTTTATAATGTATATAGAAAATCCCAGCAATCCCCTAGGAGCAAGGACTTGTGACAGTGGAAATGGGGAAAACTCCCCTTTAACAGCAAGAAGCCTTAAGTAGAGCCAGGCTCGGGGAGGGAGGGCCATATGCTGTGACCGGTTGGGGGTGAGGGAAGGAGAAGAAAGCAAAGTAAGATGGGACAAGAGGCAGAGTTTAAAAATTACTAATGATATCATGCCGTAGTGTATAGCTGATAGCTGAAGACTCTGTCTCGCATTCTGCGTTTAAAAACTCAAGGAACAAAAAGCAAGCCTGCAGTCTGAGAGCAAAGTCCTTTGTTGGGACAATATGGTGCTGTTTATGTTTTAAAAAATATGATGAGGCCTGACTTTTCAATGTGAGAAAACACATTTTAAATGCAATTCTAGATTTAACAGTGAGCCAATGAAGAAAAGTTAATGTGGGTGGTCTTTCTTTCTAGTCTGTCAGTACAGTCAGTATTTGCTACAGTGTTTTGGATTAACAGAAGGCTTTTTAAAGAACCTTTTAGAGCAGGCCTATAATGAATCGCAGTAGAAAATGCATGAGCTAACTTTTCAGCATTACTTGCTGACAGGATCTTTCTAATTTTAGTAATATAGCTCTGATGGGGGGAAAAAAATAGAAGTAGTCCTACATATTTGTTTAATGTGTGGGTTGGAAAAATGGCTTCAAGATTCCTCACAGTGTTGCTTGAGGCTGAGATAATGCCATCCAGATTATCTAGTATCTGGTCAGACACCATTTACTAATAATTTTAGATTAGAGGAAAATAACTTTAGTTTTTGTCTACATTTAGAAATAGGAAGTCAGAGGGCATCCCGAACTTTGTGTTTAAGCTCTGCTTGTCATGTATTTGATTTGTATCAAATGGCTTCATAGATAAATAAAGCTGGGTATCTTATTATAAAAATGAAAATGTATATAGTGTAGGGAAGAAATAATGGTGGGGAAAGGTGTTGGTCCCAGCACAGAACCCTGTGGAACTCCATAAATAACTTTAGAGTGGAAAAACTCTTGGCAGCTAATATTCTCCCACACATTCTTATTTCAAAGAGCCAAAAAAGGGTGGGAGGAGCCTTAAAATCTTAAAATATTTCAAATTTATTTTTTACTGCTTTAATTTGACTTTTAAGTTCCACTGCAGGTTTATCGCAGTTTTCCAGGTTACCCAGTCCAGAGTGTGTTCCACTGCATGTTGTGACACACACCTCTTTTAAAGCAATGCTGACTGTCTTCCGTTACAAAGGCTCAGTTAATAAGAGCGTGTATGTGCTGTGTGTTTTGAAATGTGTGTATTTCCTTCTCGTGTTTCTTCCCCTCCTCTTGTTGTCCCACGCAAGGCTCTCACTGAGCTCACTATAGCCTGCCAGCACAACTGACCTGTGGTAAGGGGGAAATCAATAGTCAATTCCATTTTGCAGCCAGCGTGTGACAGGTACTAGATAGGAGTGGATTGGGTGCATGTAAGGAGCAGGAGCGAGAGTTGGAGCTTGTCTGACCCTCTCCTTTCCCTGTCTTTCTCTCCCTTTCCCTCCCTCACACACAGTGGCTCACAGGCTCACTCAACCAACCCGCAAGGTCGACACAGCAGTGTAGTGCCAGAGGCCACGCTCAATAGTGTAACACAACTCGGGGGTGTATACACACATTAAACACTGTCAATGGTGAATGTGGTTGTGCTCATAAGGGAACTTGTATGACAAGCACCATGAATGTGCAGAAACATATTATGAAAATTTAGTTACTGACAGTTTTTGTTTTTAATTGTTGTTGTCACACATTTTGTGCAAGTAAAGCCGTTTACACAAATTGCATTAAACTAAGACAGTGATCACACTATTTGTTCCCAAGCATGTTTAATCTCCAAAGTTCGTTTGGTTCATTTGACTGGTGTGGTTGCTGTGTACTATTTCTGGTCAAGGTTTAGTGTTCTGCACCCTGGTGCACTTTACACTTGTGAAGTATGTAGGAAGTCCTGTGCTTCCTCAACGATGGTGCTCTTTGTAAAAACTGCTTTATTAAGTAATTTACACATCTATAAGGCATGTGATAGAGCGGTGTGTCACTGTTTCCAAAACTGCTCCGATTATACCACAAAGTGCAAAATCAGGAACCTGATTGTCCTCCATAATCTAACGTTTCCAAAGCAAGTTAGTCTCAGGATTGTTTCCAACTACTCTCTTTTGGCTATCAATACCATCATTGTGTTTTATCTCCAAAGACCAGGGACAATGAAAGGCAACTATGCCTAGTGTGAGTATGCCTAAAGAATATCTGGGGCCAGATAGCACAATGGGAACGCAGGTTTGCCGGGAAAAGGTCTGTGGCAGTC